AATTATAAAAATAATATAACATTTTCAGACTATCCATTATAGCAAGACAACATTATATTCGATTTGTATAATAATGTACGATTATACTTTTTTAGATGTTTGTATATTATAGAAAATAATAACTTTTAGCGAAACCGAACAAAATAATATAACATCCTCTCCAATCGTCTTCGCAAAACGTACGCGTAATGCTTCGACCATAATTATTGTTTAGTAAACAAATAGTTACCGTGTCGTCAGACCGTCAGTGTCGATTCTATATAATATTAATTCGTACTTAAGATATGTTGTTCAAAGTGGATAGTGGATAGTGGACGTGTATTTCAACCACCGTTTGCCCCGAATTGACTTTTAAGGGGATAATATAATTATTTACCCACGTGCTTTTTAAGTTTTTTTTTTTTGCTATCCATTACGCGAGTGGTGACTGTCTACCGCGCGGTGCTTCGCGAGTTCGGAAAATAAACATTTTTCGGGAAAATGTAATTCGCCGGGTACCATGGTACATATTCTAGTGAACCGATGTGGTCCCCTCCTAGGTATATACGATTCACCCATAAATATTATTGTATATTGTGGGTAGGTATATTGTTCTGTGTGCAATTCCGTCCGTCAACAATATCGCACTTCCGAATTATCTGTGTGACATCCGACGAACGGACCCTTCCCATATAATATATTATTATAATAATATGATCGTGGTCGTTCCCTCGTGATAGTCGTTCGCTTTTTATACGCCTGAGTATCGGCGTGGTCGATTGCTTTCGCCGTTTTCTTATTTATTTCCAACTCTGATATTATTATAAAGTCGGTATGTATATAGCAGAGTCGTAGTTTATGTATTCGAACGGTGCCTTGTCCAAAGTCCAACTTGCTATACAAACTTGTATATACAAATCATATAATGTCATTATACTGCTAGTTCCCTAATAACACGAAATATCATGTTCGAAAATGAAAGTCATGATTTCTCAAAAATATCACGATAGTAATTTGTAAACCTAGGTAATCTAAAAAAGGTTTAATAATAATAATTGGCATTGCAAATTATATCCTACTGCTGGATTCTTCTATAAGAAAAGCACAAAATCTCAAAATAAATGTTTTAAATTACAAAACATTAAAAAAGACATCAGATGTAAGCATTAGTCTCATTGTGGGTAGGTAGTTAATATTGATGCATACCAGCTGGCAACTCCGATGAACAGGAGAATTATACAAATGGACAATTTAAGTGACGGAGTGGAAAATCTATTTTTGTTATATTAACCGTTGTTTTTTTATTTTCAGTACTCAAAAATATGAAATCGGTATAACTTGATTGACTACTTTTGAAAAATATTCCTAGTCCGAAATCTGATTAATTCTAAAAAAAAGTACATACAAATAACTAATTACAATCATTTTGATTTCACAAATACGGTTTTCTGACTTCATAATCTGGTTAGAATACTTTTTAAAAAATATATTCTTGTTATAGCATTAAATAAAATGGAATTTTTGGCATGACCGCTCGAGTTGTCAATATGCATTAGCTATCAATAATTATGACAGTTACCAGTAAAAGAACACTCACCCGGTGGTTTAGTAAACTAAACGTTTACCTATGATATCAATTCCATTTTGATTATGCAATACAGTTTTTGCATCAAATAATTTAAGATAAATATTATGTTCTATTTACAATTGTTTGTTTTGTACGAACTATAATAGTTCTATTGAATGTCACTGAGCCATTCTAAGTCCTATAATTATTTTTAAATTATAAATTTCCAAAAGATGTTGTTCATTTTTTACGCATTTTATTTTTATGTAAGACTATAGAGTTACTTGCTATTTTAAACTAATGAAAAATGTATATTCTGATTCAAAATATATAATACACAGCAGAGTCATTTTGATTTCCTGTTTTAGGTTTATCGAGAACGGGAAAACGTGGTGGCTATTAAAACTATTATTTAATATTATAAATAAATGTATAAAGTTTTAATTTATGCTATGCAAATTTTACACAAAATATTAATAAATAATTAATTGATTAAGTGAAAATTAGAGAAAATCAAAATCAAAAGCATATACATATATAGGTCCTATGTTTCATAACTAAATATTTTCTCATTTTTTTGAACTTAAATGTTCATGTTTATTGCTTATAAATAAAACTAATAATTATTATTTGTGCCAAACAAAACTATGCAATTAATTTATAAGTAATAAGTTGTCATAACAATTTGTAAAATTATGTTTCTTTGGTAATTACTTGTATAGCTAAAGATATATTTTCTATATACCTACGTATACATTTATTTTATGCTAAACGTTAAAATTAAACTTCAGTAATTTATCAACTATTTTACACGCATCTTATCGTTGGCCTACACTAAAAACATTTATAATTTTGTTATTCATAATTATCTGTAATTTGTTTTTAAATAATGTACTATTAAATGTTTTTACCAAGTTAATACCAATCTTTTAACAATAAATAATAACTGACAAATTATTAAGTCTTATGAAAAAAAAAAAATTAACAACTTAAATGAATATAGATTATTAGCAATAAGCTTAATAAGTAATAACATAACTGTTTAAAGTTAAGATATAATTTTACTAAAGAAAATTTTAGTTTATTTTAAATTTAATAACTTAATAAAATCGTGTTCGTGTAATTTTTAAATTAACAGCCGCGCTTACTCTACAAAATATGTTTAAATAAGTTTTAAGGGACAATACAAAATAAATAAACAGGTACTAAATATATACTTATTTATATAAGAGTTCTGTTTACCAATTATTTTAGAAGCACACCCAGATATAACTTTTCAATCTAACCTTTATTGGTTTTATGCAAATATATATTATTTAATATATATTTGCATATAATTTATATTATACTATGTATAATAATAAATATACGTTTTAATTTAACCTTGTACATTTCTTATTTGTATAGCATTGTCTCTATTCAATATTTAATGCAAAGTTATATTTTTTTAATACATATATTTAAGGAAACGAATATTTACAATCTGTATAAAATTAATACAATAAGTAATGCATTCAACAACAAAAAATATGCACTTGAAAGAAGTCGATTGACACTACTTCAGAAAATATGCAAAGTAACAAAACAGAATGTCCGGGTTTTGTTTTATCACATATTATAATGATTTTTATTTTATACAGGGTACATCGAAAATTAATTTCGATAAGAAAACACGTCGATTTCTAATAGATATTTATAAATACGATATATTATTATTAAAGACAATTTATCATCATAGAGGTGATACGGTAAGTATTTTTGATTTTTTAGATAAAACTATTCACCTAGATCTATTACTCTGTTAAAAATCCAACGGTTGAAATGTAATTCGAAACCCTACCTATATTGGTAGCGCGGTGTAGTTCTTACTAATATTTTCACTCCTTATTACTGCAATCTTCTAAACAAGATGAAAATTGCAAACGCTGTTCAATATCAAAATGTTTACTATATAGAGCACTCAGAAATGGTTATTTACCACTACCATGATTTTCGTAGCCTGTGGCACGTACGTATGTCTGAACAGTACAACTGTATTCTATACAGTTCTATACAACCCCATTCAGTAGGTATTCGATGATGTTTAAAACCACCATAGGTTAGTACTTTAGTAGGTTATTACTCAGAACAGGTATACCAAGCATTAAATAATAATTTCATTTGATTGATGCTCACACAATATGTTATAATATTAAACACAGTTTAGAATAATAATTAATAATTAAATGTTTTCGCTTACGATTCGTTACTCACAACCTAAACAATAAGCATATGCTCGTGAACTGTATATTCTAAATTACCTCATCATAAAGAGGTTGATGACGGACTTGCAGTTATGTATTTCTATTATTATTATTTTTGAACTTTCTAATAAGGAAAAAAAATTATACTGTATATAGCATTTCTCTTAGAATAAAACCGATATTTTTTTGTATGAAATATTTATTAGTGTGATAAAACTACAATATTATAATGATAATTTTTTTTTTTTTTTGGTAATAACTTATAAGTAATTACAACTAATAACGTATGCAGTGTTTGTATCAGATGCAGATATTATCATGTTCGCTTAACTGGAATTTATGGAACAATCTGATATAGTATAATATTGTGGAAACAACGTTTTTTTATAATCTGATTTCATATAAATTTCATGTAAATAACGTGTAATATCAGGCAGCACCAACATTTGTAAATTAGCAATATAATTGCGTGTAGGAACGTTTTCTTTTTTAAAAATTCATTCTATCATGAAATTAATTTTTGATTATTTTGTTGTATTTTTTAGCAGATGATTAAAATTTACCTATATAGGTATGCAGTGCCGTATTTGTCTTTCAAAGGTTAATGAGAAAACTAAAAAAAAAAAAACAATCCATTGTCATCATGTTTGGTCGTGACTGGCAAACGAAATGATTTATCGTAAAAACAATTAATAATTGCCACGGCACGAATATAAAATAAACAAATTGTAATCACCTACCTAAATCAGCAATTAATCAAGTAGATTAATATACAATTGAATCGATGTTTATTATATACAAATCGAACGTTAACCACGATACGACCAGCGGATGACTACTATATGCTGTGACGTCAGGCTCACAATTATAATAACAATAATATATAAATTCATTGTACCTATCGTATAATATTTTATTAGTTGATGTATGAACATAATATTCTCAGTGTCGGAAGAACTCGATCGATGGAAATGGACAATTATTGCGCAGTGCGATCGTATCCGAATATCCTACGTGTCGAAGATATGGGGTCGAACCACCGATAGGTCCCTTACGAAATCCGAAAAACCACGAGAAAAACAATTCAAACAAATAAAACTCAAAATACACCTATGTGACATATTATTATAGTAACTATATTTTAATAAGTGCATGCAATCCACATTGCAACGTGTAGGTATATTATGTATTATAATTATCGGTAAACGCACCTACCTATATATTATTATCAAATAATATTAATAGTATTGCGACTCGGCCGGAAGTCTTCCGGAACAAACGATGATAATATCAACAATATTCTGTTGTTTCAAGAGACATATATTGTGCGAACGTTCGCGGCCCCAACGTGGACACCGGACGCACTCGAACACGACACACACGCGCGCGGCGCTCACTGATCGGCGGCGGCGTTGGCGGTGGCAATACGCGTCGAGCAACTGGTCGGTTTTTCGGCGCCGTCGGCCGCGATCCCTCCGAGCAGCGCCGCGCCGGAGAGGCCGCCGACACGACGGCGCGGCGTGGGCGTGACGCTTGCGCTTAGTACACACACATATAATATTATATATATGTACGTTTTTTTTTTAGTTTTTGTTTGCCCCTCACCCTCCCCCGACCGCCACCGACCACCGCCCTCGCCCACCTCTGCGCCGCATTCTTTTGTCAACCGCCGCCACGCCGACCCCCGCACACCCACCGACCATATACCCTCCACCGCTGCAGGTATAAGAATATATATCCATTTTGTCTCGTCGGTTAACCGGGTGTTTTCTTTTTGCATATTTTTTGCCGTTTTGTTTTTTCCGATGGGTTTTCCGACGGGTCCGTACTCGACCCTCCCCCCTCCCTCGCACACACACTCTCACACACACACACACACACACACTACCCGCGTTACGAGAGAAGATGGCTTTCGTCGTCGTCGTCGTCGTCGTCGTCGTCGGTCCGGTGCGGGTCATCGCCGCCGGTGCAGCGTAGTGCAGGGCCAGGACCGCCGACGACGTAAACGTCACGTCATAAACATCGTTAATCGGCTTTACGACGACACCACCATAATAACACCATACCCCCCTCCCCCCATTTGTCCACGCACAAACACCATCAACACACACACACACACACACACACACACACACACACATACACCACCAGCACACACGTTCCCCGTGCTCGCGCACGAACAGTCTCGTGTATATAATAATACTTTTATTCGTTTTTCCGCCAGAAGGTTAGGAAAGCTTCGATAAGTTCGATATAACTGATCGCCAAATCGTATACAGAACGTTTTCTGGATTTTCGTCGTTTTTGTTTTATCATCTTCATCTCTCGGACCGCCGCATACGTTTCCCCTCAAAAAGTTCGAGCGAAAAAAATTGTACAGCGATAAATGAATTATGACCTCTTTTCGGTACTATATTATATTATATTCGGGTGAAATGAACAGCAGAAAACCGATATAGTGATTTTTTTTTTTTTTATTATTCGTTTTCCGCAGTTCACAACTCGTAAATTTCTGTACAATATAATATGCTTTGCACTTTTTTCTCGAGCCGCGATTTCGCTAATTTAACGACTGAAAGTTTTCAGAATAATCCATTTCAATTCACAGTTTGTGACACCATAAATTCTAAACGACTAAACAAATAAATAACATCGATTAAAATGCATGTATAGTAGACTACTGCGTATATCATATTGTTATTTATCGTTTACGATATTAATATTTCTCATCATAAAACAACTCTAACGTCTTCCAGTTTCTACGATAATTTCATGATTTCCGAAAAATTCGATGATTGCTCATTTTGCCGCGCGATAATCTTAAAGCGTCCCGAACAGGCGTTTTAAACGACAATGATGGTAGTCAACCACGTTAAACAATAATTCCACGATGACATAATAATGACATTATGATTTAAATAGACATCGTCACGCGGAATGAACCATTGGGTACGTTCTCATCTCCTCTCAGCAGCTAGTGTGTAAAAAAGTAAATCAGCTTAATATACAACTTCTACGTCTTATTGCGTGGGAGCAGATTGAAAGAATATTATATTTTTTTTAATAAAAAAAAAATACGGTGGTAAAAAAAATACTTTTCGAGATCTAATAATATTAGGTTTCTTTATTTCCTACACACTTCCATTAATCATAGCAGTGTGTTCAAAACGAATTCAATTTTGTTTTCATCTCAAATTTTTTAAATATTAACATTTTACGTGTTTATATACCATATGACGTACGAAACTGCTGTAATTTTCCTAACATTCATAAACAGAATAAAGAAAATGTATTAAAGTTAAACCTAAATTAATGACTACGATGTGACTGTTTATATGTATATATATAACTTTGTTTAGTCTTCATACAATCTATTAATTTCAATAAAATAATAACACTTTAAACTCAGTTACCTAGTTATTAATAAGAACTGGTATAAATCGTGTTACACAATTAAATCGAAAAATAATAAGTATGGTCGCAATAATTTGATAATTTATTTAGTCTTTAAATTACATATTATAATATTTAACGTGAAATGTTCAAATTTTCAACGATTTAGAATTATCCAAAAGCCGTGTTTAAAACAGCATACTACCAATAATAGCACTACCTACCAAAATAGTATGTCATACCGTATAGCGCAATGTATCTAAAATAAAATACTTTTTTAATCCCAGAAATCATATTGCGTACTCTAACTGGATAATATAATCAATAATTAATCTAAAATATTGTTAAATGAATTTAAACGCGTCTCTATAATAGTAATACCGGTGTATATAAGCTTCACTGACCTAACCTTAATAACAATACGATACAGGATTTAATCATTTGGTCCGAGAAATGAAAACATTTCATTATAGTACTGAAATACGGAGTAACAAACTCCGAGAGCCGTCGTGACCTAAGCGTTATAATTTTCAGTTACTGTTGATAAATCATTGGAGACATTTTATGCCATGCTTTTATGTTTAATCTGATGAATCACGTGACACTATAACACATAATAAATAGAAAATAAACCAACCTATACTCGCCCAGACATATTAATATATCTTGCAAGACTTTTCTAATACGTTTCGGCCGATCATAATAATATTTTGTTCTCCGAACAATCGTTGAAATATCTATAGCATTATGTAACCCGGGAGAGGTGCGTTAAAATATTTAATGAAATTTGACGATGGTCTTTTGACCGACATATTAGAAATTCTGATTCGAATGCTGCTGAAAAGTTAATTTATTTAATAATTTTCCTATAATTTATAATATAATTAACATATTTTTATATTCTACACACAGAGGTCTTAAGAACAACCTCCCCCCAACACCTCCCCTACCATAAAATAAACACTACACGTAACAAGGTGAAAAATAAGATTGTAAATAATATAAGACCGGTATTATTTTTTTTTTATAACTTAAATAATATAATTTTCTCTGTTGTCTGTAGTTAGGTAGTTTACAAGCACAACACTTATAACAATCATGGTAATTTGTATCTTACAGTGGTATGTGTCAAATTGTCGTGACACGGCACATACCTGTGCACTACGTTATATGGATACATTTTTTTTTGAACACCAAAGCCGATCTTTATCCGTGTCATTAGGGGCGTCTTATTTTCAAATTTGTTCATAATGTATGAGTATATAAAATATAAACTTTTACCCTGCGTCGGCTAAAGTGTCGGCTACTAGTCACTAATAACCATACCTACACAATATTATAATATTGTGGCCTGGTGAGGCGCGGTCGTACGCTCCATACGCGGCAACGCTCTGGACGTACGTACACAGAACACAACCGTCGTTGCTAGCACTCGGATGGGTGACCATCCCGGTTATGTAGCCACACATCCTCACCACATATACGAACGTGTTCCAACCAACCGCCCCCCCCCCACACAGTACCAGGCTAATGAACTTTGTAGTTGAAGCCTTAATCCAAAAAAAAAAAAACTTGCTAATACTGTTTTTGTTTTTCATTTTCATATATGATTTTGTCATTATCATTACTACATTGTCTCTTCGAATGATCAATCTAAAAGTACAACTAATCACAATAATTTCTTTCTGTATAATATAGTATACTATAAGTCTATAACCACAACCCGTATAACACGTATAAATGTAAAATATAAATGATAACAAAAAGTACAGCTTACTAACTAAAATTGTATGCACTCGATGTTGGTTCAAGGTTCTTTTTAGCAACCGATTTTTCGATTCTCAATTATTTTTTATTTCCATATTATAATAACATTATTTGTATGAATTTTATTCCTGTCACTTTCTTTAGTTTGTGGGTACAATATAGTTTCTGTCTTTATGATGAAATACGGTCGAACACAGTCGTTTGTCGTTATCGTGCTGATACTTTTTGACCAACATGATTGAGGGTGCTCAACCTTTTTTTTTATTTTCGTGTTATGTCTCCAAACTTTTCGTTATTTTCATTCAGGTGATTAAATACGATATATGTTTTATTATTAAATTTTCACCGAATGTTTTTGACGATAAATCGTTATAAATATATTTTAAAAGAACCCTGAACAGAAACTGTATTAAAATTACCTGGAGGTACACGTATTTACAGTTGTAGGTAATCATAAAAATAATATTAAATATCATTTAAATCTACAATCAAAGGGATTCGTGAATTAAAGTCAATTTGTTATTGAAATTAAATTGTTATTTTATTTATTTTCAGTATAAAATCGTTTAGAGTTTGTATAGTATTAATTTACTGTTTCAATTCGTTATAAATACATGGAATTATTTAAACAAACATAATATTATAACTTGGTTACACATGAGCTAATTCTTTATTTTTACCATGGTTAAAATTTTTTTTTTTCTATGGTTGGCATTTAGTTGTTTATTTTACGATAATTTGGCTTTATCTATAGTATCTGGTATAAAAGATACGATCATTTGTTCATTATTCTGCAGATGTTATTCAAAAAACAACTTCATATGAAAGAGCATTTTTGGCAGATAGTATCTATTTCTATCTAACGGTATTTTACGCACCAATAGTTATATTTAAGTTTTAAATCGATCCCTTTGATTTGGTGTTAAGGTAAGTGTAAAATTCTCTAAAGACGACCAATTCATGTTTTATTCATCTATATTGTAAGTCTTAATTTATACATATTCATGTTATTTGATTAGTTTATATTAACTAACAATTAAAATACAATATAATGTTCTAATTAATAGTAAAATTACTTAACCCTTTGAGCAGAGCTTGTGGTGAATAAAAACTAAAAAGTTACAAATTACAATATACTTTCATTTGGAATAAACTACATAATAAAAAATCTAATAAATTTGATTTAAACATGAAAAATTAATTTCATTAGGATGTATACTACTAAATTATAAATATTGACCATATTCATTAAACAATACATTATTTATACAAGCCTTAATTAATTGT